AAGTTGGTTACCTTAATATGTACACTCATCTGTATGCATGTGTGCAAATATGCATGCATAAATATATATATATTCACATATTTATATGATCAATTGACAGTAGTGTGAATGCTCAGGATTCATTCTCCTCCCTCATAATTCATCACAGTTCTCGTGACACACGCCCCTATATTATATTATCTTCCATGAAGTCAATATCTTCACAACAATATTTTTCATAAGCATTGAGGATATTCGCATGTAGTATACCTGTGAAATCAATGGCCACCATAAAGTTCAATTCAAATCCCCCAGCCAAGTAATCGAGAAAAGTATGTTGGACACTTTCGGTATACTTGTCCACATATATTTGGCTCTTTAAGACCTGTGTTATAGCTAATATGGTTTAGACTAGTCGAGAAATTCATAATGGAAATGCGCTTGATTAACAAAATTACCTCATTATGATTAAGATTTCCATCGGCTGTGGACAAAAATAAATTTTCTCCTTGACCACCAGCATGAAGCTTTTCCAACTCTATCAAAGATCTACGCACTTTCCTTGATTACAAGAACAAATGATCCCAATATGCATTTCAGACACGGGACAAAAAGGAGAAATAGGTTAAAAGACATTCCCGATTACCCCATCACTTCATGTTTGCCATTGCTATTGAAGTCGTAGCATTCTATAATTAATGGACTGTCCTGTATAAAATAAGAAGGGAAAATCAGAAAGCTTACAATATATCTGTACAGTAAAGCCAATGTTTTCAATAAAAAAGGGGGGAAAAAAAAAGTGGCACAACATGGATGCCATATTTGGGGTAACAAAGATGCAAGCGTCACAGAATTACATACAATATGTTAAAAAAAAAAAAATTCTCACCAACAAAACAAAACAAAATGCACCGACTCCAAGTCAACACTAGTCAGAAAAATATTTAGTGATCGCAGACATTGATATATTGATGTTCTGTGCAAAAATATGACAGAAGGATATTTCTAAATATACTAATTTTTCCCTAATGAACTAATAGGGGCCCTGTTTGTTGCATGGAGTTTGAGAAATGAGCTGCAGTGTACATGATTCATGAATATTCTGGCTTGTTAATGTTTTCATATTATATATAGAATCCATGTGTTGAAAAAGCACAGCTTGAAAAAAACGACCGTCCATTTGAAATAATATTTGCGAACACAGAATATGACATGGCTCTTTGCTTCAAGGGCAATGAAAACTAAAAACGTCTGCATTAAACTATGCTGGCTATGTCAAGTGACAAAATTATGAAGCAAATCTATACCTTGCTTCGTACTTGTTGAATATTCAAGAATACTGGCTTCCATGTAGGGTTGTGGTCATTCTTTTTTACTTCTGTTTTGCATATGGGAATTTGGGTGCCACCTTCCACAACTTTTGATATCATTAAAAAGGGATCCTACAAGATAAGCAAACGTCTGTGTTATACCACAATTTCCATTCCTCATAAAGCCTACCCGAAAATTGCAAATAACAACATACACTTTTTGAGAAGAGATTCCTATATTCCAAGTCTGAACACCTGAATATCATCTCTATTGTAGTCTTTGAACTGACACATTCCTCAGCATTCACTATGAGTTTCCCACAGTTCTGAAAGCAGTTTAATCTACTAGAATCTTCCAATAGATCCAAGGTCAATGACCGACCAGGTTTTGTAATTATCTGCATAGGCAAAATTGTTAATGGGCAGACTCTAATACTCTATGTGATTTAAACTGTGGCATTATATATACCAGAGCCCCTTATTTTCAAGAAAACTTCTACAGTAAACCATAGTCATTAGATGCGATTTAACTATATAAGGCCGGACAATTTAAACATCACTGCGTCACTTATTGGAAAGGACCAAAGGAACAATTATAGTGTCAGATAGTGATTGTAAAAGATCAAAATGACTTCCTTGCTGAGATTTCTCTCCCTGCCTCCCACATTTATACTTCAAATTGTTCATGATAGAATGAGTTTTCTTTAACTTGGTAGATATTAATAGACAAAAAGTTGATTTGTGGATGGTCTCTATGTTACCTGAGATAATGCACAGGTTGCTTCACCAAGATATTGCTGCTCTTCTAGCTTAAGCATCTGCATAAGCCAAACAAACATGTCATCACACCTAATGAACCAGCAAGGAATGTCCACTCAGTAAAATATCGTGTCACCATGGGAAGAAGGATATAGACGATCTCCTACAGGGATATATGTTTATCCACAATTGTTCGAACACATTTTTACATCTCACTTTTACAGGACAAAACTATATGCTAAAACGATAGATTAGTCAACAGAATAACACTATGCAAGTATCCCATCAGAAAAACCATACCTTTACGTCTACATTATGAAACTGGGTGTCAATATCATATATACGAAACCTGTGGAGAAAGAAAATTTCCTTATTAACTCTTGGAAAAACCACAAACCCTCATCTACTTTGTTAGTAACAGAGATATCATCCTTAACATTTAAACTTACACTAAAGCCTGAAGAACCTCGAAATGATAAAACAGAGTGTGCTTAGTGATCCACGAGGGATTCAAAGAATTGAGGATTACTTCTGTGCGGCCCAGTTCCTCAAGTGCTCCACTTTTTCCTTTTGCATAAAGAACCATCATTGGATCACTCTACGGCAAACAAGAGTTAAGTATGAAACACTTTTCTTTCACGTGAATATTGATCGTATAAAAAATATAAACCATGATACTATTTTTCAGGAAAGAAATAGAACATTGACCAACAATATAAAGTGGCTCCAAAGTCCAAAATTCTTGTGCAACAAAAAGTGCGATCTTTAAGTTCTTAGTAGTTCGTAGTTTAACATATTTTCCTGGATGTGCATGGTTATATGTACACCAAAAGAACAGACCAAACCTTAGCTAATTATGGTGCTATAAAACTGAAACTGACGTTAAAGAAGAAGAAGCAGAATTCATTGGGCAGACATATGAACTATAGGGCCGGAGCCAAGCTCAATTTGAGCTGAAGGAAACTAAATTAAGTTCCGAGCATCAGCAATTATGATTAGATAAAGGCTATATGGAAATAGATTGTACTAACAGAGCTTTAGAAACATGAAATGCTTAACAAATAAACCTTGGAGAGCACATCCCGGTCACGCAAGCCTGAAGCAGAAAAAGATAACTGCAGCACAAAAAGAAGCCACTGTTATGCTTCGAAAAAGCCCTTCCATAAAAACTAGCTACTAATTGAAATTCAAACTCAGGAAGAGAGCGAAATGTCCTGAGAAACTTGTTCCAAAAAAAAGAACCTCGATCTGAGAGTAGAGTCCATGATAGCCACGATACTTCAGGAAGTTATCAACAGCATCGTTTAGAGCATCGGCAGGATTGAGGAGAGAGCCGGCGGTGCCACCGATGGCCGTACGTCCACCGGCAACGTCGGAGAAGCAGTTGCCCATGGGATTTCGGCGTAGGTGTTGACTGACTTCAGCAGGAGTGCGGCCGAGCACTAGGAAATTAACCGGATAACTACCTTCGTTTCCTTTCAAGTGAATTAGGCTACAGTAAAATGGAATAAAAAGTAAAAAAATATTAAGAAAATAAACAAAAAACCTTTCTTTGACGATCTTCAGAGAGTTCTTTACAAGATCAATCGTTGTCATTAGAGATCTTTAAAATTCCATCGATTAAAGTGATAAATATTTTTGAAAAATTACAAAACGAGAGTGTAAAGTAAAAAATCATTTGAAATCAAATGTAAAATTTATCAGCCAGTTTAGATGGAAGGAGTAGGTGGTGGAGGCAACATTTGAAAAACTTACTGTCTCTAACTTTCTTTCTTCCATTTTTCTTTCGGTGGACTCGTTGAAAGCGCATTAGGGCGTTCAAACTAAAATCCACCCATTCATTTTAACTAATCCATCAATATTTTAAGAAAAAAGTTAATTCATTAAATATGCTTCAAATTAATTTTTTTTTACTTTATTCATATTTTTAAATGAGATTCTAACTTGTGAAGGAAACAGAAAAAAATACAAAAAGTCATATTTAAGCGTTAATTGCAAGAATAAAATTGACAAATAAACATTAATTACTTCTCAAAATGACCTTTATTTTGAACTAAGCTATTCTCCTAAAAACGACTTACAGTGAGAGAGTTTTTTTTTTTAATCTTTAATATATCTATAAGAACGAGATAATTTAGTCATGTGCATTAATATTAAAAAATTAGTTAAATTAATTATTTGTAATAAATATATGTTGATTTTTCTAAAATATTCTATTTAGTCATATGTATTAAAATTACCTTTAATGAAAACTTACGAACAAAGTAAACTGGAATATTATATTTCGAATAAAAATAAATTCTGAGGGTATAATAGAATTAGAAGAACAACCAAAAAGCGCATCAGAGATCAAGGACTAATGTTGGACGTGCTTGTGGGCGACCACCTAAGGGGCAACATCATCACGCAATCTCCTATTCCTTTTCCATGGTTATGATGGATCCATCCAGACCAAAAGTGAAAAGGAGTGTCCCCTCTGTTTGGTAGCCGAAGTTGGAAAAACTAGCTCTTTCATGTTACTTTATCCTTACCCTGCCTTGTACTATATTATAATTGTATGTACAGACCACGTGAATTGTGGGACGATTGCTTGCTTCATTTCATTCTTCCCAGTCCTTGGAATAATTCATGGTCCAACAGAGACTGGGGAGATGAACCCATGTGATGAATCAATGGGATTTTGATGCCCATAACTTACTGTCTCTGAAACCGTGCACTGATTCACCAAGATTCAACTCAATCGCCCGCCTTCATTGACTGGATCATATCTCATAAATTAAACTCCTATAATGATGTAACTATACATATTTCAAGAGAATGCTACTAAAGAAATGTGCGTGTATGCTAGAGACGCATGATAGTCACAAGCAAGCGAACTGAGAAATTGCCACCACAGTTCTCTGTCACAATACACCAAAGCAGTAAGCAAGGATTCATATGAAATCTTCAGCAAACTAATTTTTGAACAAGTTTCAATGATCCATTCACCAACAAAAGCAACTTCAATAGGTTAGGTAACTATAGGGGCTGTACTTTGAAGACACACTAAACCCCCTAGCTCTAAAGACTATACGTTGTGCAAAATTCCTTAGTAACAGGGAACATAAAAGACAACCACACTACTTCGGTTTCCATCACTCGCTGAAAAGCAACTTCGATTTACCCCTGCATAAGTACATAAAGCATCCTGAACTCCCAGACCAAGAATCAGTCACAGTCAGTAGTTGGTATGTGATTGAGAAGCAACCCGAGCACAGGTTTTGCAGCGTTCAACAGCATGCTATTGTTGATGAGTAATATTTTTCCACGTCCGCAAGGATGGCCCACAGCACTCGTTTCCCACACCAGTCTGTTGATCACCATGCATTATCCCTTCAATCGCTCCAGACTTCGTAACAGAAACTGCACTGGAACTGACAATTTAATCACCAGAGTTTTATTACAGTAGAGACTAGTAAACAGGAAATTAGAACAGTTCTATAGGCCTGTATTTTAACATATGATAACTCAGAAAAAAATTTAGGATTAAATTTTTACATCAAATTCACACTTTGAAAGTAGGAGGGACGATTCAATGCTCTGACCACCAAAGAGTTCTAAACAACCCGGCCTCAGCTAATGCAAAGCACCTCTGTTTCTCAAAAGAAAAAACATAAAATGCAAAGATAAATAATTAAGCTAGTAATTTAAAGCGACCCTTCTTGAAAAAATGCCATTGTTCTACTTAAAAAGTACTTCCCAAATGCCAGTCGCATCATTCCATGGTAAATAATCAGAGTCCTCAGCAATCAAGTATCTAAACAAAGGTTCCAAAACAGAGTTTGAGATTTACCCTTGATATGGATAAGAAGCGGAGGTGACAGCTTCAGGAATGTATCTGTCCCCAGTTTGACCAGAATGATATGGAACAGTAGATGATGACGAAGCATGTGACAGCATAATAGGATTGACATAGCCCACATTTAAGTAGGGATTAAAATTTGGTCGTGGATCTAGAACGTTGTGATGCACATATTGAGGATCTGATATTGGCTGAGCTTGGCTGCTAACCATATTCAACGTTGATGAATGAAAATTAGACTGTGGATTCAAGGTATATGCATGTTGAGGACGTGGCAGGGATTGAGCATAACTGCCACCCATACTTACCCTGGAGGAAGAAAAGTCAGGCTGTGGGTTTAAGTCAATCTGACGTGCACGCAGAGAATCTTGCGACGCTTGACCATGAATGGTACCCATACTAGTCAAGGAGCGACATTCAGGTTGATGGTATTGGTACGTCATATTCTGACGTGTATACTGAGGTTCTGCCACCGATTTACCAAAACTACCACTATTCCCAGCAGAATAAGTATTTTGCACAGCAACAGGCCGCACAGGGGGCTGAAGCTGGTTCTTTGAAGTTTGGTATTGCATGGACAGTGCCGGGGCCGAAGTTGGCATAATAATTTGCTTGTTAATCAATATCGGACGAAACAGTGATAATATACTTCTTACCTGCACCACAACAACAAACTTCGACTATGTAAATGCTAGTAAACATAAGGGATTTTGTTTAATATTAAAAAAAATGAGAATATAACAATGGCATAATGCAATTAAATTGATTTACAAGAGATTATGATGATGCTTACTTGTCCAAGATTGAGCTCAGGACTAAATTTGCGACCATCTTTCTGGTAATTATCTTGAATTGCGTGTTTAAAGCAGCCCTCTGGCAAGGGTAAACAGTCCTGATGAATCTTAAACTTCACCTGCACAAAATTCAATGGGAGGCGGGAGGCAGATGGAGAAGGGAGGAAATTTGTTATCAGATGTCATGATGTCATAATCTAAACTTTGCCATTAGGAGCAGCATAGGATTAGACAAATATGTTGGCCTCTCATAAAAAACACTTATGCTGCAAACACCTGACCATCTGACTGATCCTTCTAAAATCACTTAAATCATCTACTAGACCAGAAAATACCATTTTTAATAAATGGTTAGGCATTTTCCCCTTAAAAAGATTGAGGACAAGTTCAATTAGGTTGCCCCGTATACATATAAACAGACTTGTGTATACATGTGTGCCTGTGTGTGGGGTAATTGTAAGCGATGGTTAAGACCTTCACCTGGGCTGGGAATTTTCCACCAAAAGCTGATTCTTCTATCCCTAGCTTCCCACTAGAGGTTGCTGTATATGTGCCATAGAGAAGCTTTAAATCATAATCAAACAGGAAAAGGTACGTGCCAGGCTGTATTTTCTCTACAACTTCCTTTCTCCATTCTGGGAGCCCAAAAACTCGGAATTGGTAGCATTCTGGCTTTGTAACATGATTACACATGAATATAAAGCCAGAAAGTTCTTCCCGGCTGTTCAAGGCCTTTTCATTTCCAGGCATTGAATCTCTGCATGCGTTAGCAACAGGATCACAAACAGGGTGAGAAGAAAAGCCCATGAAATGTCCCTTTCCTAACACATTTCGCGTTATTGAAATAATCAGTCCCCAAAGCAAAGAATATGACGACAAGTGATCAAGGGTTTCAGGCAGGCATATACAAAGAAAAATAGTTAAAATCGTATAAAATGGTATTTTAGAAGGGATAGAAATAGTACCGACGATAGCCCAAACTATAGCAATAGTATATCTGGAAGCCGTTCACTGCGTGTAAAACTGTAAATCCACTCCCGACTGAGTGAACTGCGATTTTGCTTTGATCCTCTCAGCTCCGTGACTCTATTTTCTCTCTTTTTTCAACAATTCTTCTTGGGCTGCTTCGCAATGCACTACTCACGTCACGGAAAACTGCACCCTTCCACATCAGATATTTTTTTTAATCGCCCTGCTTTTTATCAATATTCCTTAATTAATATTAATATGGTGTTGCTATTGGATTTCATAGATTAATAATAAAAAACTGTCAATGGAAGCCTCTTTCTCGCATCTATTGCCAGAAAAAATATCGTATGCATTGATGTGAAATTTTTTGATACGTGAATCTATGATTTGATAAATTTCTTTTAGTTTTATATAAATATATCATATCTTATGTAAATAATATATCGTATCTAAATAATAATATTTTAAATAACAGAGTAAATCGATCTTTTCTTATATTCTCAAAGATATTGAAAATGCAAACTTATTTGTATGTTGGGACTTGGAATATACCTTTCTTCGTGAATACTAATATTTAGTACTATTAAGTACCACGTTTAATTTTTAATATAAAATTTAGTTAATTAACTTTTGAATAGATTGAAAAAGTTTGTTGATTTAGTTATTTGTAATAATTTGGTATTGTCTTTCTTAAAATACTTTTACTAATCATGTACTACCTCCAGTCCTAATTATAAAATCCTGTTTGTAGTCTACAAAAGAGATCTTATAAATAGAACCGGAGGTAGTATTAGCTAAAACTATTATTTAATTAAACATTTAATATGTATAACTACTACAAAAATTATTTAAAAAAAATAAATTGAAATATTATATTTAAAACCAACTAATGTTATATTAAAAATTAAAAGTAGTATAAAATCTACAGCTCAGTCGCCATGGTTAATTAAAGGGAGCCTCTTTATTAATTTTTTTTTTAAAAAAGTACCACGTGAATATCGTCACATAAAAATTTGTTTAATAGTCTCTTCCTCTATTCTAACCTTGGCGGAGCTTTTCAAAGATGACAGCACCTCTACTTCTTAATAACCAATTGATTAGTTTAAAAAATTTAATTCAAAGTATCTATATTCATTATTTTTATCCAAACTAATTTGTCAAATATAAATATTTCAAAAAAAATTATATAAAATATGTTATAATTAGGTAATTTTCTAACTGGCTCTTATATTAAGTATAAGAAGTAATACTACCTTTCGTCCTAATTATAAAACCTTATTTATAAATTACAAACTAGATCTAAGTATTATCTATTTATTGTTTCAATATTTCCCTATTGTTTTGAGATTTCCAGCAACCAATAGCTGAGCCGAGGATTTCAATATAGCTTCGGCTCCCTCACTGTTCTTTGCTAAAATCACAACTCTGGTCTAGAACTGGTAATACGAGTTGGACCCGCGAGCCCAGCCTACCAACCCGCCAAAATGCGGGCTACTCCAACCCGCACTATTTTCAGCCCGCTCTGCCACAGGTTAACCCGCAAATTGGCAGGCTAGCTCACTTTTTTTTATTTTATTTTATACAATTTTCAATATATCATACAATATAATTGGAGGATTTTGACCTTCAAATTTCACATTTACATCTCCTCATTCATGTAATCGCATATATAATAAACACATAAAAGATCTACTTGATTAATTTGGATTTAAAAAAATCAAATTAATTATTGGGAAAAAATAAGTGTTGGTTTTTCTAAAATATCTTCTCAAATTATAAATTAATTCTCACATTATTTTATTATAACCTATTACTCAAATTTAAAATTCCAAGTCCAATTTCAACATTACAAACTAAACTCAATCTATACAAATAATAATAATTTTTAAAAAAAATTAGACAGGCTCGGGCTGGCAAAATGCCAGCCCACCAAGGTACGGGCCAGCCCGCACCGCTGTGGGCTTGCCCGTATCTACACTATCAGCCCATATTACCAACTCTATTCTGGTCAACCAATGGGTCATTATAGACAAGTATTTTTGGGAATCCAATGGTGTTCCCAAACAGACACTACCCATCAGGCTCTGATCGGGAAGATAAGCCCAAAAATCGCGTAACAACTCTCTTCTCATTTCTTAGCGTTTTTTTTTTGTTACATAAATTTGGGCTCAACTCAAACCAAAGACAGAACGTTTGCATAATTCCTCCTAAGTAATACTAATGTTGGGCAGGACAAACCTATATTATACTCTCAGACAGCACTCCTATTCTAAGATGCCTCTCCAAATACCGTAACAGGGAATCAAACCCCTTCTTTTTTGGGTAAGAGGATGTAGTTCCTACAGCTGAACTCACGACGGGTCATTTCTCAGCGTTTGTTGAGCCGAAAGAAGGAATCACCTCTGACCTCTGGGTTTTCGGCCACTATTTTGTTGCATTAGGCTTCAATACTAAAGAGCATGGCAATTTCGAATTCTCTTGGGCTTAACCCGTTTTGGATACCACAAACCCAATGTATTGGATCTGAAACCTCATATTCCATAGTTGTATCAGCCCGTTGGGTTGCTGAGGCCGGTAGACCACTACTAATGGCATTCTCTCACATGGATCTATGTGGGGCACTAATGGCACTGTTCCCGCGCTCAGCTCAATGTATGGTCACTTTCAGGGGAGACACGTTTGCCCCAATTAGAGGAATATTTTGATCATTTTTCTAACTTTTCACAATAAATTGGAGCTGCTCTTCACAATCATAACTTGTCAAAAAAAAATCTGGAGGGGACAAAAGACTAATGAGCGAAGAAAATTGTTCGCCCAATTTGAATTTGAGACTTTTCGCAAAATATTTCCTGTGATATCAAGTCTACTGTTTTCCAGTCCTAGCCCACAATATTAATCTCATTCAGAATCAGCACAAAAAGCTTCATGATTCTGATTAGTCAAGGGCCAGGACGATCACTTAATCTTGTGTAATCCGATGTTCAAGTCAGATGATATGGAGATAAGAACTGGAACGGACTTGAGCCACACAGCTTTAAAGACTCGTTTCTGATGAGCTGTTATTGACTGTGATGGCTTGTGAGCATTATACCTAATATCAAAAATGTGAATCACTGGATCTGCTGAGCCGGATGTTATATACAGCCCATCAGGAGACCATGCCTGATTTATCAGAGCTGATTGAGATTCACTGCTTTCTTGCTTCCATCCAAAAGCATGTAGCTCTGACGCTCTTGATCTGATATCAACTAAACGAAGCTGCTTCTCTGGAGTCCTGAGGAGGGGGAACAACAGAAAAAGAAAACATGGTTAGTAATATTTTTCGAAGACTATTATGTGTGTGACATTGTTCAAATCAGAATTTAGAAGTAACAGACCAAACAAAGCTTTCTGGACACTATCAGGATCAAAAGTGCAATCAATCCAAGAAATGATCTTGGGTTTGAAGGGACAAAACTTCAACTGAATGATGATGATATTCCATCTCAGAGACACAAATCTAGGACTAATTCAAACCGAAAAAATGCCAGTAAGTGCTTTTATCTAGCATAGGACTTGAAAACATCATCCCGCACCCCTAGAATATTATGTAATGACATAGGTTAAATTATGCAGCCTTTGACAAGAACATATGTCATTCATGACATAGAATCCTCATAAGAGGACTCCCCTGTATCTCAGTTGGGAAAAAATCAAGCAAGGAAAACCGAAATGTTATTAGCACATAGAAGACTACATATTAAATATATATACATATATAAGTAATTTCACACATAGAAACCATTCCCCGAAGTCAAATGAGTAAACACCAAAATTTAAACAGTCGCGGGAGGCAGTGTACCAGACTATCGGCACAGATCACAATTTTTACTTGCGATAAAACACATCATATGAAGACGCACAAGCCTTCAGCCTAGTGGACGCCAATGGCCTTATGGCCACATATCCCGTTTTATTGGTTGGGAGTAATCAAACCCAATCCAGCTTGTTATAGCCCTTAAGAGCACAATCCAACTTCAGCCTATGCAATTAGTGGCATTCATCTCATCAAAGTACAATAGATTCTATAATGGATGAGACAAGCATTCAAACAATACTCATCATAATTATAGATGGTATGGAAATGGATGTAGTATTACAATACTTCAGCTGTTCAGCACACAATCGATAGTGCAAATATTTCCTCTGATGTTTGAAGTTCTGGACTGAATATCGTCTTGGTGATCTTCAAATTATCACACTTATAGATTCTATAATCGATTAGACAAGCATTCAAGACGAACATGAACTTGAAGAACTTGGCTACAAGATAGTAGAGCATGCGGGGGGAAAATCTAAGAGCAATTCATTGACAAAGCAGACTCCAAAGGAAGTGGAGTAATGATTCTTACCCTGTTTGAACCATAAATAAATTGAAGTCACATGGATTTGGCAGCACACTCATGCATTTATTATCGATCTGATGCTTGAAATATTCTCTTCCTACATGAGTGTCAAACCCAAAAATTCTTTTGTCTGCACCAGCAGACAATACAACCTGTTTCTGCTGCATACCAGCGACTCCCATGACAGCAGATGAATGGAGATTCTTGTGCAATGTTTTTGGCCTCCATATTTTCTCACTATCCTCACTCCAAAGTATAACAGCATGGTCAGATCCACCAGTCACAAAACAGGTATCTTCCCAGGGCATAAAAACAATTTTATTTATGACACCTTTAGAATGAGGCTTGTCCTCTAAGAAATTCACACATTCTCTCTGACCAAAAAAACACAAAAATACAATACAAATGATAATCAGTTAACCTGATTCCAAAGTACAATTTTCAGGCCATCTTGCTTCTGTCCATATTAAATGTTAATAATAAGCCTTACCACTTGCTTTCTGTTCAGATTCATCACTGATACTTGAGACTCTCCAACATCAGCAGTGTAAACTGAATACAGGCTATTTCCATCTGGATGCCAAGCTATATCTTCTGGCCATCTCCTCTGTTTTAGGGATACACAATCAGTAGAGCTAAGCAAAGACACTCCTGATCTACAGTTTAAGATGGAGAAAAAACATGAAACATATGTAAGATTTTTTTTTTTTTAATTTTAGAAGCATTAAATCAATTACTTATGCAAAACTTCATTTATTGTGACCAAAAAACTGTCACTCAACTAACCAAGGGATCAAAACTACCTATAATGCCCCCAGAGAAAATATGAAAATAGATAGCTCAATGCCCATATGCAGATGGCTAAAGAAACTCTCGATAGACCAGGTAACAAAGTCCAACTTCTACAGAATGTGTCCACAAAAACATTTTAATAACAACAAAGAGTACGAATTTTATCAAATCAAGAAAACATGAATGAGAGACACAAATTCATCACATTCTAGAATTAATTATTTAAGCACGCAATAAATATCGTTTGATCAGCATCAAATATAATTATAATATTTATAAAGAAAGCAATTACCTAGAGCCCTAGCTGTTTCCTATTTGAGGACTATACCATTTGAGAATCATTCAAACAACCAATAGTCAATCCAACCCAGTGTACACTTACAGATGAAGCTTTCACGAAATTTTGTATCTCAAGAAGGAAGCCAAATTTTGTAGCTTTATTGACTAGTGAACTAAATGAGTAATCATGTCTAATTCACAATGGAGTCCCTTTTAAAGGATATAATGATATGGTAAAGGACAACGGATATGAAAACGTTGTCAAACCTTACCATTCATTGGACTAATTGAAATTATATGTGCAAGATGCTCTTAGGTTGGAGATTCCCTAATTAGATGCACATGTTAATTATAAAAGCTAAGATTCAACCAAAATGCAGGACACATTAAGAGATCTACAAAATGAAAGACATTTAAATGATAAGCCATACCCTTTAGACTGAATGCGCCACAACTTAACCACTCCATCCAAAGCACTGCAAGCATTCCCAAAAGCAGCAAGAATCAAGTCGAGGGGGCTAAACTTTAGTTGCATTTAAATTAAACATGAGGATAAAAGGAGCTACCACATTCAAAAAACCATGCTTTCATATAAAGTTTGAAAACAAAGTGCATTTGATGATTCCCATGTCACAAAATCTGACCTAGCTATTGGTTCTAAATAGTTAAACGTGATAGTAGTGACTCCAGAAGCAGGACTTTTGCAGCCAAGAGTATGTTATATCCTTGTTGGAATGTAAGAATAAGGATTGAAAAGGAACAAGGTTAAAGTAACAGAGCTTATAATGTGCTTCAGAATTGTCCCTGATCACCCTTTGTAAAGACACTTTGAGGACCCATACTTCGAGTTGGCTTTCTCACTTGAAGACTAAAAGCCTAGTTAGAACCCATCATACCAGTTGATAACAATAAACCTAAGAGCTCAAACCTGCCGCAGTCAAATGTAGTAGGGGAAAAACTGAAAAGAAAATCAACTTGGAAACATTTGATGAGTCAACTTTCAAGGTTCAATAGAATGCTGACACATAATTGCCATGGAAAATTATAAATCAATAATTTCATTACCTGGTTGCAAAAAGATGATCATCCACAGGACACAAAGCAAGACTACGCAACTTCCTCTTGTGTTGACTTGGGATAAGGCTGCTTGATTTACAGCGTAATGAGCGTAGTGATGTACTACTTCCTATTTGAGGAATCAATTCATTGTGTTCTTTATGCTCTGAAAAGCAAAGAAATTTCTTGTGAAACTCAATATCAACCAACAGGAATTTTGAAATGAAGAGTTAAAAAGTATCTTGCATAAAGTCTAGATAAAGCACAAATGGGCTTTATATATATCAAACGTAACAAAAAGAACCATAAGAAATGAACTTTTTTACCAAACTTCCTTTTTGTGCCTCTATACTTGATTTCACTGACTTCCTCATCAGTAGAAACTTCTTGAGACCTTTCCTCTTTTACTTTAGCACCAGCAATTGCATGACTGGAGAGTGATCGACTAGATTGGGAATCAGTACTTATTGAAGCTTTCTCCGAAGTCCTTTGCAATGATATACTTTGGGAAGATGGTGGGATTACATCAGGAATAAGAAGTTTTGGTTTAGAATTATGCTGGACAATGGGAGGACCTTTATTTGTATGGATGGGACTATTTGATTTACACTCAAGCTTCACAGTTTTTGTAATATCATCCACGCAACTTCTAGACGGTGCCGCATTAGCTTGCCCACGAAGGCGAGCCAATTGAGACTTAGAGTCTTGCAACCTTTTTTCTGCTTCCTCTAGCTGCATATCTTTCCCAAAATTTTAATCAGCGGATAATTCTCATAGCCAAGTAGATGAGACCAACAAGAAAAAAAAAATGCTTGTGATATACAATGCAATTAGATATATCCCTCACTCGTGCTATGCATATCTATAGAAGCTCCAACATAAAATAAAATTTGCAGCACACCATACAAAGTATAATCTGTAAGACATATTTCAACAGTGCAGTGTGTTCTAATAGAACAAAACAAAGTTAGTACTTCATTGAAAACATACTGTCGCATTGTCATAAGATTAAAAAACAGAGGAAAAACCCTACAGGGTAGTTTATTCATCGACGCAAAGAGGGCAAAAATGCAGGAAAGGAAACTGAAGAAATGTTAAAAAGGAGACCTTAGAAGTGTAATAAGAAATGCGTCGACGGAGATGTTGGACTTCGTGGGTACGGTGATTGATCAAAGCCACCAATGCCTCCTCCTGGTCTTCCATGCTCGGTACCATTTGCTTCTCTCGGAAAAACTTCTGGCGGTTAATCAAATTCGACGCCACTATTCTCCATAAGAATGGCAGTAGGCGCGCGCGAATTTTCGTTACTGGCGCCATTTTTCTTTTGGGTTAATATTCGCTCTGTTAATTTATATGGAAGTATTTTTAAAAAATTAAAATTAAAAATATATACTACTTCCGCACCTAATTATAAGAGTCAGTTGACTAATTTGAAAAAATTAAGAAAAGAAGTTAAATTAGTTATTTGTAATAAATAGGTATTGTCTTTCCTAAAATATCCTTACCAATCAAGTATGTTGGTTAAAACTATAATTATTAGAAGGACTATCTTTGAAAAAATTGAGTAAATATGAGAGATAAAATAGATTGGAGTCTTATATTTAGGACTAATATAAAAGTCAAATAGAGTCTTGTATTAAAGACCGGAGGTAGTATTTAACATTAATTGAAACTAACATACGCAAAATTTCTTCTAAAAAATTCTTATAATCTACTAGAGCGAGTATAATCATTACATGTCAAAAGCTTATAGCTTAATTGGCACCTTATCAGCCTGTTTGGCTGGGCGTTCTAGGCACCATAAGTGGTTTATAAGCCTAAAAAGCATGATTGTAAATTTTGCTGCTGTTTGGTTGAACGATTGGGCAATATAGCTTTTGTGTGAAAAGCTACGATAAGTTACAAGTTAAAATCAACAGCTTATGATTTATAGCTCTTGAAACATGAAGAGAGATAAAGTTAAGAAATTTATTATCTTCTTTACTTCTTATTCTAAGCCTCAAATAACTAATTTGTAAATAACAAAAAAATCAATTAAAATTAGTTGAAAGTAATAAATAAGTTAGAAATATACTCTTATTTTTAAATATGCCCCTAGTCCTAGAAATATAGTTTTATTTTTTCATGTTTCACTTTATATTTAAATTATTTTTTATGATTTCTCTAAAGTTTTAAAATTTAATTCACTCTATCAATTTCACTTTTTCATATTAAATTAATTTAAATTTATTGTATTACCTCAATTTATTTTTTTTCCATGTTTCATTTTATATTTATAATTTTTTTATGATTTCTCTAAAGTTTTAAAATTTAATTCACTCGTTAAATTTGACTTCTTCATATTAAATTATTTTAATTTTATTGTATTACGTGAAATTATTTTTTTAATCATATTTCATTATTTATTAAAACTCATACTCATTTTAGTCATTTTACAACTAAACTTATTTTTACTCAACTATAATCCAAACAACCTTTTACTGATCTTACTTTTTGAAATTAATTTTTTTGAACTCTAATCCAAACACAATTTAATTTATCCAATTTAATTTTTACCCAACGGATCTTATGGTTTTTTTTTAAATAAATGAGGTCATGGGTTTTATAACCCACGTTACCAAGTAGGAGCGGGTGGGCATGATGGGTCTGTGGGTCCCTTCCTTATGGTAGCATGGGAGAAGGGGTTTAAATTATCAATATTAAATTAAAAAAAAAAAAAAAAAGAGCATAACCTTACTTTCTTTCTTTTTTCAGTAACAAAAAAGTGGCATGGGGGGGGGTTAAGTGCACATGTATTAATGAGCAGCAAGCACTACTCACTTTATACAATAGAGGTGCATTGTAAAATTATTTTTTAACTTTACATAGACGTCTTTTTATTAGAAACAATTTTATTCAAGACACCATCAAACACTACATGTAGTTGTCTCTCCCAATGTGAATTTAAGTCTTGATTCGTCAAGTTGTAAAAAACCAACATTGTTCAATTATTAAAGCACCCCTAAGATGAATTCAAAAAAATTGATAAATGTAAAAAATAAATCTTACTTTAAATCAAGTTCATTCCACGTTAAGATCTGGAGGAGTATCATCTTTTCGTATCCACAATATCTTTTATACCCTTTAATTTATAGATTTAAGACGAGATGAAAAAAAAGATAATGACACAAAAAAAATAGAGGGAAAATGAGAGAGAAGTAAAACCAACATGAACAAAATAAACCAAGAAAATCAGAATAAATATAGTACCATACAAATAAATGTGGCGACAAATTCCTATAGACAAATAAATCCCATGAGGAAGCTACCGCCAGTGTGTTCAAAGACAAAATTACATTACATTATGAACATTAAGACAGATAGAGTGGAAACAAAAACAGCGAAGTCCCCTTGAACCCCACAAAGAAACTTGCCCAAACTTGTGACATGGTCCAACCACCGAGCTAGCCAAAACTGAACTTGAGTTAAGTTGTTCCCTCTACTCGGAGGATAGCAAGACTCCATGCAAAGATTCAAAAAGAAAATAAAGAACAAGTACTAGATTTAGAGTGAATTCATTCTGGTTATGTACCCCAACCTCTGAATACTTGGGTTTGTGTTTCTCTATAGGCAAAAATTGGGAGCCCTATTTCCACTTGGCTCCAACTCCTCCAACGTAAAAAGCCAATATACAGATATTGGAGCGATATCATTTATATTATGGTGCTGCATGATTGAAAGGTTAGTGCCTGAAGTCAAGTCAGTCTGAGTTTTTGGAAGAGCCCATTGAAGAACTTATTCCATTGGAAGACTCCTCTCCACTAGTTAAAGCCGATGGGCTCCTAGCACGCGATTTTCCAGGCCTCAATCTAATATTGGTACCCATGGGGAAAGGCTCCTGTGCAGAAAAATCAAGTCAATGTTGTATCAGGGAGGAGATCATCAGAAGAGATTTCCTAAATTATAATGCATTTTCTCGACTTTTCAGGCACATGCCCGATCATCTAGAGAATTTCTCAAGGAAAATGTTTTAATAGATGCAACTACCAATACATTTTATATATCAGTTTCAGCCGGTCAATAGCATATAAAGTCTTTCCTGTTGGTTAATATCAGTGTGTCCAAAAGCAATTAGGAACAAAGGTGTGTACTATAGATATCAGTAGCTGGTTTGAAGGTGAAAGAAAAGTGGAAGTAAATGAGGAATCAGGGTATGCGGCTTGCAGTTTACTTCTAGCTATTAATTATTCTCATGAACATCGGGTAGAACCAAATGTAGAACCCAAAAAAAGGTACAACCAAATGTAAGAAGAAATGAATGGTGGAAACTAGGAAGCGTTCATGTATGAAAGAGAATAGTCAACAAATAAAAATATCTCATCATACCGGATCACCAGCATTTGGGCCCTCTGTATGAAAGAGAATAGGGCGGCAACGTTTATCTTCATTCATCAGGCTCGAATTTTGGAAATGTGTAATAAGAGCAGCTTTTCCCTGAATTCGAGCATAGGCAAGTGAAGCCACCTTTTCACTGTTGAACTTCTCCCATTTTTTCCCATTAAAAGCCTGCATAAGGTTTTTCTAATTTATCAGCTTCATCAATTTTGGCCAAAAAATTAATAATATTACATAGATAAATAACTGAAATTCCAGTGACACAGAAGTTCTTGAATCACCTTATGGAAAGGAATAATCTGACTAGGATCAGTCATGTTGATGAAAGCATAGCCAACATTACATTTGTTCTGCAATTATTTGTGTAATCAAATGTGAACAAAAGTAGGATTCCATCCATAAAGAAAACAACCAACTAATGACGTAAATACTTGCCTTGAAGTCAATTGGCAAATACAAAAAATCGTAAGTTCCCCGACATTGCTCATCTATGGCGGCAAGAAGCATTTTTGAAGTATACCTAACCCATGCAAAAAACAAAAAAGGAATACTTAAGAAATCATCCTCTAATGTCAATAAGCACAGCAGGGGACATTTTGTATGGGAATGAACATGACAATGCAGGGGAGAAAAAGTTTTTGAATGTGTGGCTAACAACACTTCAAATTATTAAAGGTGAGTAAACAACCAAAAAAATAATCAGCCAACCTGAGTAAATCGCTCAATCAGCCACATGCATTTAAGTTAGTATTTGCCATAGCTTAATAAAAACTCAGGATTTAAGAATTCTAAAAGGGTAATAGACACAAATTTTAACAATGCAATTTTTCCAATGTAAATTAGATGACAATGCACTGATGTAACAAATTAAAAGGGTCAAAACAGCTAGGGAAACAATTTACGTACTTGTTGGGAATGTTCTTAATCATAAGTGTTGTTCGTGTGTCTTCGCCATTCAATATACGACTTAGGTCAAGTTCAAATTGCTTTTTGTCAGCACTGTTAGTGTTAGCATCACTTCTACGGTGATAGAGGTTTCTCATTCTGTCATTGGCAGGATCAAATTTAGACATTGAAGTCATGGGATGTCTCCCAGGGAAAACGTGTGATAACTGATTTGGGGAGCTCTGCCCAGCATTGGGTGACAAGTCCATGCCATTCCCACCAACATGAGGAAACATTTTGTGAGAAGAAAATTCAGGAGGACGCAATTGCCATGTACCAGGAAAACCTGGACTACCGAGAGAACCCATGTGAAAACCAGAGGATTCAGGGGACTCAGCCAAATAAGAATGCTGCCTGTCCCATGGGGAGGCTGTAACAACTGGTGCTGATCCAACATGGTGGTCTAAATGTGATGCTCTCAGCATATGAGATGATGACCTGGGAAAGCCAGGCATCTGCTGAAGACAAGGAGCACAAACACCATTAACAAATGAGGGTGTTTTCTGCCAAACCATTGGGCCTGGTGGAGTTTGCTGGTGCACATTTGATCCGCTCCACATGTGATAAAGCCCATGATTAGGAAGGCTCACATTTCCTGTATTGGAGAAAAATAAAAGTTCTTAGATCAGGATTCAAACATAAAACTATTCAAACTCCAGCACAAACATGAGTTTCTTCAGCCCACAATTATTTCTAGAAATATTAATTTCAACAAGTCAAACATTATCTCAGATGGTCAGTATATTTAAATAATAGTTTTAGTTTCTGGAGCTAATAAAAAACCATGTAAACAAAACATAAATCGATACTCTCAACATATTGCCCTTCCTACTTAAGAAGCATCCAATGGACATACCTCCTCCATTAAAGTCCGACAATTTCCCAGTTGAACCAAATCCCAGAGTGTGCCTGCTGTCAGAGCCATCTGTCACTCCTGGACCCATATTACCAGATACATTGCTAAAGGTTCTTGACAAGTTGTAAGGACTGCCACAAGTTAAACCATCATGGTACTCAGGAAGGGAATGAGGATGGAATCTAGGAATCGATGACCCTCTCACTGTGTTGTGAATGCCAGAATTCACATGTGCGAATACATTTATTGGTAAGGGATCCATAGTTTGTCGTATTGTAGCTGGAAATCCATGATCAGATACATTGTCCAAGCAGCCAGATGCAACTACTCCAGAAGACGTTATTGCTGTAAATGACGCATAGTGAGACAGAGAAAACCAATTGCTTTCTTAGGACCTAACAACATGAACAGCTTGAAGCAGATAGGGGACCCAAAATCATACCATTCTGTCTCAATGATAAGTTATCACTGATACTCTGACTAAGGTCAGACTCATTCTGCTCCTTCTGAGACTGCTGCATCAAACTACAAATGCAGACTTTCTGGTGTTATTTACACAAGAAAAGAAAGAATTTCTAGAATCAAATTTAATTAGTAGTATTTCCAAACAGCAGATAGAGGCATCAAAAAGAATGCTGCAGTCCGTTAACCATGAGATGTCAGTTTATCAAAGGTGGCGTGAAAGAATGCTTAAAAAAATAAAAAAAATATATTAAAAAAAAAAAGCGCAGAACCTATAATCTGGATAACATCAATTATGAGCTGTGCGCTTCAAAGCGAAGAATCATAACATGAGCTGAACAAGACAAGAAAATAGACTTAAATAAAAAGATGAAAAAAAGAGTAGCCACCATGTTGCACTTAAACCCCTAGGATGGCGGGGTTCAAGCTTGATCTGCCTCCCAGCAATTTCGCTCTTGTTCAAAGCATGAAGAGCAGCTTCTGCAGCTCGCACATCATAAAACTCTATAAATTTGTCATGATTCATTTCTGGAGATTCACAAATCTGCAAGCAAAAATAATAGTTAGTATGCTCGTACCATCTTCATAAAGAAACAGAAAAAATGGCCAAAACAACAGTAATCAGCTTACTTCTTTGATTTCTCCATAAAATCCAAATATTTGTAGAAGTTCATCATGTGAAATAGAAGAATCAAGACCAGATAGAAGCAATGTACCATGGCTAGTATCCTTCTCTGGCGCATTTACCTAACACATCAGCAGGTGCAGACGCATTCATAAGTAAAACATCAAACATAAGAATAAGAAGCAACCGCATGGCATTGTGATAGGACTGCTAAGAGATTAAGATAAGAATAATGCTAACTCTCAATTATGGAATGGGCATTATTCAGCAGCAAATGTGGCTAACAATCTTACCTTTGGTATCGAATAATGTATATCAAGTTTCCTAGACCTCAATGACCTGTTTTGAAGAGCTTTCATTGCATTTTGTGCAGCTCTTATATCATAATAGGAAATCATAACAAATCCACGATGCTTGCAAGCAGTATAAGTGGTTCGGACATCACCATATTGCTGTCACAACCAAAAAAAAAAAAATTTGCATCAACTTTTTATATGATTCAAGGTCTAAAATGCTTTCTAAGAATTCTAACATAGCGTCTATCGATATAAGACAACAAAGATGCACCTCAAATAGAGTCTCTAGCTCAGAATCTTCAACATTGCTGTTAATGTTTCTAACAAAAAGTGTTCTAGAAGGATGTTCACCAAAAGGAAGTTTAGCTTTGAAGCCTCCAAAGCAACCAAGATCTCCATCTGGACCACTGGTCCTTTTTCCTGAAGTTAGATGTTCATCACCTTCGAGCTCCATGCCTCCACCACTGCTAAACAGATCAAAATCTTCCAGGTCATCACCAGTTTTGGTAAGAATATTGAGACCTAAGTCATCAATGACACCAGAAAACAGATCATCTTCATCAGGAAGGAGATTTCCAATGGTGTCAGCCTCAATTTCTTCAAGAGATTTGTATGGTTCATCATCAGGAAGTGAACCAACAGTAACAGGCTGCTGAGGCACCACATCATTTCCTGTTAACCTCACTGCACCAAGATATGGGCATCAACCACGTAAGATGATATAACTCTTGGGAAGATCAGAAATTTGAAGAAGGAACAGTGGAAAAAGAAAACAATTTCATGTTTATTGTTTCATGGGTCAAGGGTAGTGCCCTTCTTTATTCTGCTCCATTAGGAAAAGCAATCAGCACCTAATATTCTCATTTACTACAAATACGCAAGCAAACTGATGACAAGTACTTCTTTCTAAAAAAGCATCAGAGCTGATCAATTGACCATGCTGTGGTCCTACCATACAGTTCTAGTACTTAGCATGCATTAGGACAAGATCTTACGCTTCCGGGTAAATATCTCGGATAGTGAGCTTGAGAATAAACTACTTTCACGTGAGGCAGCATTAGTGATGATCTTATTGCCAATTAAACCATATGGGTTAGATGCTGGCTGCATACGCACATTTGACTGAGATCTGGGATGATGACTTAATGCTTCCTTGGAGGCTTTAAACATATCAACATTGCCTTCTTCACCAATATGTAGCTTTTCTATGGTTTCTCCAGACAGACCTGTTGACGACTTTGACCAGCCAGTCTTTGCACTAATTTCCCGAGGTGACAAAGCATTCAAAATGCTGCCAGGTGATACTGCCATTCCATTCTTTCCTAAAAAATAAAATAAAAATAACATTGTAGAGCAAAATTCATCCATTAAATTATTGAATATTCTCCATATGCACTAATAACTACCAAATTTATGCTCACACACATGAATATGGATACTAGGATACACACATATAGAAGGGGAGCGGGGAAAATGACAACATTTAAAAGTGGCATGATAAAAACAACAAAGTCTGGAAAACGGTTGTCCCCAAAATACATATCTGATCTAATCCAGCGGAGTACACCATCAAAACTCATGACCCTTCAAATGATCCCAGCCATGCCAAAACTAATGAGTAAAATGGCAAGGATAATAACTATACATGCACAATAAAGCAGTATTGCAGTAAGGATGAGGCAATGAAGTCTTCAGCATAAACTGAAACAAATACATAAGCTTGAGAGCTTAAGACAATTCCTTGTATTAAGCATACTTAGCGCACCAATAATCACTATTTCAAATGCTACTAAACATTTATATGAAGTTCAAAACAGAAAATGAGATATACATTGACAAGAAAAATGTCCCAGAATAAACAAACTTTATTGCATTGGAACATTGAGACCAGACTTATCAGATGAGGCATGCAAAAAAAGTCCAGAGAAAAGTTATTCAATATTATGGAATCACGACACTAGGGACTTGCCAAATTCTAGACTGGAAGTTTGATATGAGCAAACCAATGTAAGACTTTGAACAAAATATAAACCAGTTGATCCTCACCTTGATGGTAGTGGTCATGAGCAGATTTTGGCCTCTGCAGTCCGGCATTCTTCTGCCCAAAATAGAAGTTCAAGATGGGTTTAAAAACCAACAAGTCTGGAAGGCATTGACAATACATGAAATGACCAAACTAAAATTGTAAAGATAGGGTGATAAATACCTCAGAGTAAAAGGAACCATCAAAAAAGTGTGATGAGGCAGATACAGCCCTCTGATCCATTATTTCAAAAGGCATCCTGTGGCTCAGAGTCTAGAGGGTGGGAAAAGAGGGAAAAAATCACTGAAAAGCTCGTAACTTGCTGAGTTTATTCAGCATTTACCCTCTCATCGGTTGAAAATTTGAAGTCGGCTGTACTAAAAAAAAAGGGACAGATAAGAATAAACGTGGGAACGCATCACAAAACTGCTGCAAGCCGGGAGAAAATCCAAGGCCATCACAGACCCAGAAAGTTTCATCAATATTAATTATTAAGACCTAAGACGTGATTGATCCTTTCCAACATCCACCAACCCGCCAAAAGAAAATGACGACTTATTAAAATTCTGCAAAGCTCCTTCCCGAATTCTAAGTTTTAACGGTATAATTAGGCGAGATTGCAATAAAACTAGCAAAGAAAATTTTTGACATCTTCAAGACTTCAACTAAATACCACCAGAAAGGAAAAGGAGGAGGATGATACCGAGAAAAGAAGAAAACTCGCTGCTCACCTAACAACAACCTAACTCGGCTGAGCCATTTGTTAGCAAAGAAAATGTAGGAAAATAATACAGAACCATCAACAAAAAGGAGTCAATTAATCAACTGGACGCAAAGAAACCCCTTCCGGACAGCTCTCTTTTTCTTTAATAACAAACAAAACCGCATCTTTCTCAAGTTCACGCTAATCCGCCCCGGTTTAGGAAGCAACGGAAGCAGATAAAAAGATAATTTTGCAAGAAAAGCCTCAAACGTTGACGGATCAGATGCAAAAACCCATATTTTCAGATGGACGGAATAATGATATGTATAGAAGAGGTTCTAAATTTTATAATAAAATCAAAATCACAACACCAAAACGAAATAATTCAAAAAGACAAGGCTACTAAAACCATGCAAACATAAATCATAATTGGTCAATTGAACAAATTCTTACCTACAAATTTTCAAACACCGTCTCGTTGGCACACAAACACCAAAACTTTTTTTTCCTCTGCTGCTTTGCAAAATTCAACAAACTTGTCCTCCAAAGGGTTGAGAAGAAAGAGAAATAAAACAAATCTTGGCGTCGATTTAGAGCACAAGCAAATAATAAATAAGGGATCTCAGCATTTTTTGGCACTTCGTTGCAACAATCTCCATCTACTCTCACACTGCAATGTGCTGCCGGCTATGTCTTACTACGAAGAAAACAGACAGAAATGTCTCAGATGTACAAAATTTCTTCCTCGGCTGCTTCTAGCAATCGACCAAAATATCGCTCTGGCATGAACCAAACATATCAACAAGAAAGGAATGGGAATTGGAAGCTCGAAAGTGAAGAAACAGAAGATCCCGGTGACCTTGAAGTGAGTTTCCGGCGAGATTAGACTCGCCGGACACCCTCTGGTTTTGGAGAGAGAATCAGACAAAACGGAGGAAGGAGGGAGAAAGTAAAAAACCGTGTTAGTTGGCTTTAAAATACATGTAATAACATAACAACAATTATAACAACCGAAAAAAAGGAATGCGAGCATAAATAGGCGCGCGGTATGTGAGTATGCGTGTATGTTGGGTTTTCTGTGTAATAAAAATTAATTAATGTTTTCAAATAATATCAAATCCTTTTCAATATCCGTCCAAAACTGATATTTTTGTCTTTTACTCGCATTTGATTGTAAAAAATAATGGGGAAATCACAAATAAAGACCCTTGAATTAGCAAAATCACTCTATGGTCACCTGAATATGCTAAATTACTATGAGGGACCCGGTCTCAAATTGTAATTATAAAATCATAGCCAAATTACCAAAATACCCCTCTTTAATTTTTTTTAATAGGGAAAGCCACTGCCTCACCGGAATCCGGCTACCGGCGCCGGAGCTCCGGCGGCCACTTCTGGCCACTGTCGCGGCCGGACGTCGGGGTCCGGCCGCCGGAGCTCCGGCGCCGGTGGCTGCTTCCGGCGGTCTTCCTTTATTTTTTTTTGAAACTGTTTTTTTTTTAAATTGGGGGGAAGTGAGGTTGGGGGGATTTGATCCCCCAACCTAATGCTTCCCAAAAGAAGGAATGACCATTGAACCAACAAATTTTTGTTAACATTATGATGCAAAAAAAAATATAAGTTAACTCATTTACTCTTGTTCCAGGTGATAACAACAATACATTTGGAAATAACAAGTTCTGATTGTAAAATAACACGTCTGGAATAAAAATTTAACAATATGTTTTTTTTATAACAATAAATTTTGTTGCAGGCAATAACAACAATACATTTAAAAATAACAAGTTCTGATTATAAAATAACAAGTTTGGGATTAAAATTTAATAACACGTTTTTTTTATAACAATACACTTTGTTTCAAGTGATAACAACAATACATTTAAAAATAACAAGTTCTGATTATAAAATAACAAGTTTGGGATTAAAATTTAATAACACGTTTTTTTTATAACAATACACTTTGTTTCAAGTGATAACAACAATACATTTAAAAATAACAAGTTCTGATTATAAGATAATAAGTCTAGGATTAAAATTTAACAACACGTTTTTTTATAACAATTAATTATTTTATACTTTTAAAAAATAAATTATTTATAACTTATAAAAAATATTTTTAATATATTTATTTCTCTAAAAAAATACTTTTTAATCTGTATATCTATACAACTCATTATAAATCAAACTACTTCTTATAAATTATAAAGTATTTATAATAAGGCATTTTTGATTTATTAATCATAGTATAAATTTTATATTATTTCATTCTTTAAATATTAAAAATATTTTTTATATTTAAAGAATAAAATAGTATTTTTAATTATAAATTAGAGATAAATTTCATTTATAAATTTAAGCAGTCAAAAAGTATTTTTAATCCACAATAAATTGTACTATTTATAATTTATAAGAAGTAGTTTGATTTATAATAATTTGTATAGATATATAGATTAAAAATTTTTTAAAAAAAATTAAAAAAGTGTGTTGCCATTTTCCCTAAATTTTATTTATAAATTTGAACAATAAAAAAGTATTTTTAATCTATAAAAAATTATACTTCAAGTTCTGATTATAAATTGGAGATAAAAATTATTTTTTTAGCAAATTAAATAGATTACAAGTACTTTTTATAAGTTATAAATAATTTATTTTCTAAAAGTATAAAATAATTAATTGTTATAAAAAAAGGTGCTGTTGAATTTTAATTCCAGACTTGTTATTTTATAATCAGAACTTGTTATTTCTAAATGTATTGTTGTTATCACTTGAAACAAAGTGTGTTGTTATAAAAAAACATGTTGTTAAATTTTAATCCCAGACTTATTATCTTATAATCAGAACTTGTTATTTTTAAATGTATTGTTGTTATCACTTGAAACAAAGTGTATTGTTATAAAAAAAACGTGTTATTAAATTTTAATCCCAAACTTGTTATTTTATAATCAGAACTTGTTATTTTTAAATGTATTGTTGTTATTGCCTGCAACAAAATTTATTGTTATAAAAAAACATATTGTTAAATTTTTATTCCAGACGTGTTATTTACAATCAGAACTTGTTATTTCTAAATGTATTGTTGTTATCACCTGGAACAAGAGTAAATGAGTTAACTTATATTTTTTTTTGCATCATAATGTTAACAAAAATTTGTTGGTTCAATGGTCATTCCTTATTTTGGGAAGCATTAGGTTGGGGGATCAAATCCCCCCAACCTCATTTCCCCCCAATTTAAAAAAAAAACAGTTTCAAAAAAAAATAAAGGAAGACTGCCGGAAGCGGCCGCCGGCGCCAGAGCTCCGGCGGCCGGACCCCGGCGTCCGGCCGCCGACAGTGGCCGGAAGCGGCCGTCAGAGCTCTAGCGCCGGTGGCCGGATTCCGGTGAGGCAGTGGCTTTCTTTAAAAAAAAAAAATTAAAGAGGGGTATTTTGGTAATTTGGCCATGATTTCATAATTACAATTTGAGACCGGGTCCTTCATAGTAATTTAGCATATTCAGGTGACCATAGAGTGATTTTGCTAATTCGAGGGTCTTTATTTGTGATTTCTCCAAAAATAATTGAGTTCGGAGTTCTCCGATAATAATAAATATTATTCTTATTAATTGTATTGTTCAGTGATAATTTCTTTTCAGAAACAAATAAGATGTAAGATGAATTTTATTCTTATATTTTTCTTGGTTAATTCAATTTTATTCTAATACTATACTGTTAATTTTTTATACCAAAAAAAATTATATATTACACGAGAATTGTTAAATCTTTGTCAAAGAATGATTTATTTTGATTCAATTTTTATATCATGTGTGTCGTAGTTTACCTACTTCTTATATCAAAGCAAGTTTAACTTAGTTGATTTGCTGTAATAAATTCCAGTGTTTTGATATAATTTTTCATTCAGGCCAAAAGAAATTATAAATTTTCATATTCTATGTATTTTTTTTATTTTAAGTTCTTATTACGTTTTACAGCTTACACAGATAATAGTAAGGAAATGGTTATAAAAGGTTAGCACACTCTGGATAACTTGAATAATATTATCTCTTCGGTTCTTAACATAAGATCTCGTTTGACTTTTATTTTGATTTTAAATATAAGATCTCAATCCACTTTGTCTCTTATATTTATATATATTTTTTAAGATAGTTCTTCTAATAATGACAATTCTAACCAATACATTTGATCATAAGAATATTTTAAAAAAGACAATATGTATTTATTACAAATAACTAACTTAACTTATTTTCTTAATCTTTTCAAATTAATTAACTAGTTTTTATACTTAGGATTAGAGGTAGTACAATTCAAGATAAAACCATACTTAATGCATATGAGGGTGGCATTTGATTGAAAAATTTTATTTTCTTTTAAGTATCAAATTTTATTATACTTCTCTGGTCATATTTATAGAGTAGAGGGAGAAGATTTTTTTGTTCTATTTATAAGTCATCTCATTAAATTTTTATCATGAATATACTATAGTGTTCTTCATTTATTATAGTGTAAATATTTTTTTAAAAAAAGTTTATATATTAAAGAGAGATAAAGCTGAAAAATTATTATATTTTAATAAAAAACTAATGTAATTTAACGTTTTTCCTTACCTGTGTAACATATGTTAAAAGTGTTTTATAAATAGAAAAAATACTATTAATTATGACACATTTATTACATTATAAATAATCAGGAGTAGATAATAAAAATAATTTGTTTATTATTATATCAGAAAAATTTGAACCGTGAAATCCGAATCATCCACGTGTCGAAAACATCAATTCATGAACCAAGGCGGTTGCGGGGCCCACATGCTCTGGCTTGCCCTACGTGTCATCAAAGCAATGGAGCTCCGATCTGGTTTATCTTCCAAAGATTCAGGTTATGCTTAACAGACAACGTTCGGTATATACTCCTCCGGTCCTAATTATAAGACCCAATTGATTTATTTGAGGAGATTAAGGAAGTAAGTTAAGTTGGTTATTTATAATAAATAAGTGTTGTTATTCCTAAAATATTCTTGCTAATTAAGTATATTGGCTAAAACTATCATTATTAGAAGGATTATCTTGGAAAAAATGCATAAATATAAGAGAGAAAATGGATTGGGTCTTATAATTAGGACCAAATAAAAATTCAAATTGGGTCTTATAATAAGAATCGGAGGAGTATAAATATAAAAATAAGTAATAAAATCCAGGTAAAATTATTTTGTTTCTCGTTTAATTATATAAAAATGGAATGTTGCTTGGCGGGGTGAGGCACCAATTGGGGAAAGGGAGAAGGAAAGTGTGAAGCAAGAAAATGTTTGGGAAGAGAGAAGCCAAATTGGGTGTCGTATTTAATTGAGTTAAGTATAATTATTTCTTCGGATGAGGTCCTGCCTCTGTTCCACTCCAGGAATAAATTCATTTCATTTCAATTTATTTATTTATCTCTCTCCTCCTTTCTATGTTTATTTATTTAGAGAGTATTTGGTAGAAATAAAATAATAATTTTAAAAGTATTTTTAACGAAATAAATGTATAAAAAAATTTATTTCGATTTATGAAAAAGTACTTTTGAGAAGTGTTTTTGGAGTTATCCAATCATCCCCTTGATCCATTCTCACCTACCAATTTCTTTATCCCTATTTTAAAATCCCATGCCATTTCGCTGCATGGTTTCCCCGAATGCTCTGTCTAAACAAAATGGAGGAAAAATTAATTTTTAATCAATTTCATATATTTGTTTTTTTTTGTTTTTGGTATAATTTACAGTATCATTAAACCATTTTGAATTTGAAACTAATATAAGTCATGAGCATTAAAATTAAAACCCTCTCAAATTCCAACTCGTGTTTTCTTTTTTAAAATAATAAAACCGTTTACTATCTCAATTAATAATTTGTTGATTCATATATTTGTTTTTTTTCTTTTTTCTTTTTTGACATACATATAGTTTGTTCAGGACCTAATATAAATTAAGTTAAACTATAAGAAC